CTGTACAATTAATATTGGGTACCTCGTGTGTGTGGATGTGATCAGTCCAACAGAGTACGCAACATCACGTGACAAATGTCACTGACTGTGTGGCCGGTGTTGATCTATACATGGAGGAAAAAACTTTCTTCCGTTGTCTATTATAAATTCGCTTTGGGCGCCGCTCTGACAGAAGTGGGTCAGTTGAGATGCTAACAATAGGACGTTCGATGGAGTGCCTGGATGCCAGTTGGCCTTGTCTGCTTGCCGGGCGGCGACTTCTGTATAGTTTAATTTTTTTAATCTTGCATAAATCTTGTTTGTATTTTATATATTTTTATTGGCTAGGCCTACTGTTATTTTATGTGTGGAAGCTGTTTATTGGCTTATGTTAAATAAAAATAATATTGAGTGGTAAAGGCCTATTTTAATGTCAAAATATAAATAAAACATACAAGTGAATGTTCGTGTACCGTTGTATTTCATTAATAGGCCTAATTAGGTGCTAATTCTTAACTGACCCAAACAAACATGTAGTGTGCAGAAAACAGTATTCAATTTTTGTATTCGGACATTTATTTATCCATCGACAAAAAATACAAATATATGCTGTATACACATGCTACAGGCCGCTTTGAATACATGAGTCTAGGATTCGGGGCTAGATTCTGATAGATAAAAGTTAAACTATGATAGTAAAAACTATCCCCCGCCGGACACCATCCGGTATATAAGTTAAGTTGAAGGAAATGAAATTAACATTTACACTGTTTTAATATTTGCCTCGTGATTTTATTTAAGTTATCGCTGCATATTCCCGATGATTTAATTAGGCCCATTAAATACAAGCATTGCATACAATTTATAGTGTTCGTGGATAAAAATGATATACGAGGCCTACCCTATTCTTCCTCTAGATACATTTAGCTACATCAGAAAATAGGATACGCATGGGGCGATACAAAAATCTTTATTGAATATAATAGTGAATATATCAATATTCTTACTTTGTCATGAACGGAAATAAACTCTTTGAAATAGGCATATACCACCAGTTTGCATTACTGCAAATTGCCTATAGTAACAGTGAATTCAGTGAGAAACGTTCCCACACAAGTAGGTTCCCACGATCAGGAGAAGCACGAGAGAAGCAGACACAAGGTCAATCAAATACAGTAGTCTTCTCTTTAAACGCCGCCAACTCAGGAATGTAGACGCTTTAGTGTCTGATCTGATTCTTTGAACGCCGCCTTCAGGAATGTAAACCAACTGCTGCTCAGCAAGAAGGGAATAGCCGACTGCCTTGTTCAGCAATATAAACATGGTTTAACCATTTTTAAAACATAATAATATATATAATAATACAAACAAGTATTAAATTCATATAGCCTACACAGTAAAACACAATGACGTAGCATACGTTGTTCTACGTGGAACTTCTTTAACTGCTGCTGATCCAGGTCAGTGTTTACATGATGTATTGTGCGGGCTGTGCAGGCACGTAGGAATTAGAAAGTTGGGCAAAAGGTACTTGTTTTGATAGGTCAGTTCGAACATTGCACAATATAATCTGGGTAGCAAGGTTACTGGCGATTGCTTTCTCTTCTATAAAACCTACAGGTAACGGTAGGGCCTAGCCTACTAAAATACAAGAAACATTGGGGTTTCCCCAACAAGAAAAATAATTAAATTTAGGCCTTTATTATAAACATTTCTTCGTGAACTGTCACCTAGCGTAGGCTAGCATTTTACTACCAGGCTACTAATACTATTATAAATATAGGCCTAGGCCTACATAGCCTAGGTACGGTAGGGACACTGAACAAGTTTTGAAGTTGTTTAAATCACGATCAAATTCCATATATCGCTGAACGCGTTTAACATTTGCCATTCACGAGCAGTCAGCCATATGAAAAGGGGAGGAGTTAACTTCCAAACGGAATAAACGTCTCGAACGACAAGCTTCCAAACGGCATTTTACAGACGTGTTTGGGAGGTTGTCATATAACAATAGTAAACGTGTTTGACCCGTTTCTGTCGTTGGGGATAATTTGTAGATCACGCCTTAAATTTTTTTAAACACGGCATTTTTTAAACACGGCATTTTTTTTAAACACGGCATTTTACAGACGTGTTTGGGAGCTTGTCATATAACAATAGTAAACGTGTTTGACCCGTTTCTGTCGTTGGGGATAATTTGTAGATCACGCCTTAAATAACACGAATTAAATGAAATATATTTAATCATACAGGCATGTTATGCTAGCCATCGACCGTAACAGAGAATCACTAATGGGCACTGACCTCAAAAATACTGTAGAAGTACAGAAATAGTAATACTGCCGCTACTTGCTGAACAGTTTTTTTTGTTTTGTTGACGCTGAGAAATATGGGTATATATAGAACAACTAGGAAATAGGTGTGATGTCGAAATTGAAAAAGAGCAAATTGTTATAAAGATATCCTGTTTTCTTTCCTCTATTTCTTATGTAAACCCGGATTTATAACTTTTCCAAAACGTTTCTACAATGTGTATTTAGGGTTCATCAGTGTTTCGTTAATATACTCAAATACTCAGGCTCACTTTTTTTGATTTATAATAAAAACGTTTGAAAACTGCAAACAAATGATAAGAAAGAAAATATTAACTAACATCAGTCGGGAAATACTATAAGTTTAACGCCTACTCAAATTAATTGACGTGTTCAGTCAAGCGTGACAGCCTAGCAACAAGTACTCGTTGCCAACGGAACCTCTGCTAGGACATGTTTAACTCGCGATAGATCGTAATAAGTATTACGTTACAGTACAAATCCAATTATTTCCTATAATAATGACAACCATTCATACATCCTATCTGGAGTCATTCATATCAAATCTAATATTTCTAACAGTACTTGGACATTAACTCCAACTTCCCAAACAGTTACAATAAAAAATAAATCATCTCTGACAGTTATCACGTCAATTAATATACTGCCATTTACTACACACAGGTCTATATCCTGCCTACATACGTACTGTCTCCGCATCTCATATTTTACGCTAGGCCTAATCCTTCTCATGCAAATTGTAAATTCCAACTAAATTTTTTAGCGCCTATTCCAATCATCCATATATTATTCTCTATTATTATTAACATTAACATCATATAATTACTTACATTCTGGTCTCTGAAAATAAAAAAAACAATCAACGAAATTGAACCTATTCTCAACTAAACTTTGCAATTCAGGTATGCTCTGAACGTCTGAACGTAGCTATGTGCAGCCTCTTTACAGAGGGCACACTCCAGTAATTATTTTCATTATTAAATGAAACACCCCCTTCACCCACCAAAACCGAAAAACACAAATAAGTCATTTCTAATCAATCATATTATTACGTTTTAACACAATCACAGTTCTCATTAGTTCCTAACGTTAATTGTTCCTCGACTGGTATCAAAAAGTCTATGGACAGCACGTTTAATCATCACAACAACTCCAGTTTCAGTCACCGTTCTAACTTCCACATTTCTCACTTGTAATAATAATTATAATAATAATTGTCAATTTATATAGCGCTTAATGTAAAATACCTCTATGCGCTTTACAGCATGGTGTGGTAAAAATTATTAAAGTTTCACCTAACAAAACATTTTTTTTTAAACTTTCAAATTTTATTTCGAAAAAAAAGTATTATG